TTTTTTTTTTTTTTTTCGCTCGCCGGGTTCCCTACGGGGATAAATCCCGCTCGTTAATGAGCAGGATCCTGGGCTTTTCTGCTCTGCCTCAGCTGCCGGCGCCGGGCTCAGGGTGGATTTAAAGAGACAGGAACTGCGTCGCCTTCTCCTCGCAGCCCAGCAGGCCCGCAGCCCCCCGCAGCCTCCCGGGATGCTCCCGCATTTTTATTTCTCCCTCCGAGGGGCGGAGAGGGGCCGGCATCCCCCTCCGGAGCCCGGGGGTCCCTCTGGGCAGGCGGGTGGGTGGCGAGGATGGGAGGACAACCGGGAATGGCCCGACCCGCCTGGTTCCAGTCTCCGGGCAGACTCTGCTCCGTGCACACCGCAACTGCGATTATTTATTCATGGGAAGGCCTCGCTCCGGGCTGGATGGCAGCGCTCGGGATTTACGGCAGCGCTCCGGGCTGGGTCCCGATCCAGCCGGGCTGCGGCTGCGCTCCCTCCAGCACAGCGCATCCCATCGGGGTCCTCCCAAATCCATCGGGAGGCCCCTCAGCGCTCTGCTCCGCACATTTTTGGGTTTGTGTTGTTTTTTTCCCCTCCCTGGGGCTGCTGGACATGTTGGAATCCTCCCCAAGGCAGCGGAGGATGCTCGCGTCGTGCCCCTGGAACACGCGGGGTCCGGCTCTGCTGCTGCATCCCCCCGGATCTTTGCGGCACCGGGATGCGTGTGCGGGTCCGTGTGCCTGCAAATATCGATATATTTGTGTTCACACACCGGGGGATTCACGCACCAGCTCTTGCTGGAGAATAATTTAAAAGATGCTCACAAGTGCGCTTATGAAGCAAAATCTGGGCGATGGAGGAAAAACTCAGCTCTTCCCCAAAAATCTCCATGCACCCCGCTCGGATTTGCACCCTGCCATCGCCACCAGCGTTATTGGAGCGGTGGTTTTGAGCCAGACCCAGCCTGGCCAGGACTCGAAGGAATAAAAAAAAAAAATAAAGAGAGTAACTGCTGGTGATGGAAACCCGCGGGATTTAGGATTTTTTGCATCCCCTCTGGAAAGGCTCCTTGTGCTCGGTACCTGCCTCACTGCCCACCCACCGGGAACTTTCAGGCTGTGTCTTCCCACTCAGTTGTGTTTTTTTTTGTTTTGTTTTGTTTTTTTTTTCCTCTCTCGATGCATTTTCTTGTCCATCCATGGAAACACATCACCACCCTCCTCTGGAAGAAAACCTCCCTCCCTCTCTCTCTCTCCCTCTCTCTCAGAGCTGGAGGGAAGAGATGCAACTGGAGTGGGTGGAAATTTTCCCACTGAAGCATTTCTTTCCAGTAGAAAATGTCTTTTCAAACTATGCCGAGTCCTTTGTGAATGCAAGAACTGTGTTCATTATACATTGGGGGGCTTTATTGTTTCCTTCCCTAAAAATCCCACACTCCAGGTGCTGCACTTTTTGGAAACTTCAAACTCCCATTTTTTTTTTCACAGAGGGAGAATTTGGGTGGGAGCCCCCAAACTTTCCAAGAAAAACACCAGAGCTGAAGTTGCTTAAACACATATAAAAATTTTGGCAAGGAACAAAAGAAATCCCAGTCCCCTTCTGTTGCTTCCTCAGTAGTTTTAGACAGTTATAGTTGGTTTATATGTTAATTGGCCAATTAATTATTGGTCAGCTATTCCTTTGGGGGGGATTTGGTGGGATGCAGGGATCTGAGGCAGGCACCAAGGTGTGACACTCCTCTGAACAATGTGGGATGATGCTCCTCATAAAGCAGGTGTGTAAAATAACAGCGAGTTGAATGGTACCTGGTGAAAAAGAAATTCCCAACAATCTGCTGAAGGAAGAGAGGAGAACGGGATCTACTCTTAGGATGGTGTGTGGCTTTAAAATGAGGGTTATTTTGGGAACAGCACCTTTTTTACTTGAGGAATGGGCAGGTTCCACTCTAAAAATGCAACCAGGAGCAAATTTTCTGGTCATGAGCTGATTTAGGTTTCCTGGGGTGTCCCCAGCCTGTCCTGGTGCCCCATGGCTGGAGCAGAGGGTTTGGTCAGGTTGGGATGTTCTGGTCATTAAAGGGTCTAAGGTGGGCTCCAGGAGGCTCCAAAAATCGCCAAAAAAACCACGTTGGAAGGCAAATAAAGCAGATTGGAAGAGTCCAAGTCCAGGTTGGGTGAGGCTTGGAGCAACCTGGGACAGTGGAAGGTGTCCCTGAGGGGTGGAATGAGCTGAGCTGTAAGATCCTTCCAACCCAAAGCATTCAATGATTCCATGATTCTGTGATTTCATGATTCCATTATTTCATAATTCCATGATTCCATGATTCTCTGGTTGTGGGATGCCAGCTGAGGGTGCTGGATGAATTCTTGCAGTGTCAGGGTAATCGTGGTGTGGTGGCACTGCTGGTCCTGAGCTTATCCCCAGAAAAATCTGCTTTTCCCAGACTTTCTCCGAAGGTCAGGATTTGGTTTAAAATAAAAACTCGTGCCCCAGTGAGCTGCCTTGGGAGTCCTCTCCACACCAGTTCATATTTCCTCAGTGCTGCTGATGTGCTGAGGAGGCTGAGGGAGAGGAAATTCCAGATTGGATTTCACACCAGCCCCGAATGCCAGAGGGCTTTTCCCTCTTGGAAGGTGCTCCTGCCATGCCAGGTCTGGAAAGCCTGGCTGCAGGATTTCTCCAGGAGATTTGACTAATTCCAGGGATTTTTCCACTACAGGATACACATGGTGTTAGATAGGGCTGACAGGCTCTTTTTTTAAATATCTGTGTGGATGAGGGGATGAGTGAGATGAAGTTTGGGATAAAAAAAAACCGATGAAAAAACACAATAAAAGGCAAACCATATTCTAATAAATCACTGAGTGTGGATGGGGGAAGAAAAAGTAAGATTGGGCAGTGGGAGCAATGGGTGTTTTCCATCCCTGGAGGAAATGCAGAGCTCCAAAGGGAACAAAGGGAAAAGCTCCTGGGGTATCCTTGCCAGCCAAGCTAGGGGCACATCAGGCTGGTGATGGAAAAGAGAAGGAATGATGCAACCACATTAAAAAAAAAAAATACAATTGGGAAATGACAGGATGCAAAAAAACCCCAAAACAACTGCAGCAAAACAGTGGAACAAGGTGGAATCACTGAATAGAATCCTGGAATCCCAGGATCTCCGACTGGTTTGGGTGGGAAGGGACCTTAAAGCTCATCCAGTTCCATCCCTGCCATGGCAGGGACACCTCCCACTATCCCAGGCTGCTCCAAGCCCTGTCCAGCCTGGCCTTGGGCATTTCCAGGGATCCAGGTGGGCATCCTGTGCCAGGGCCTCACCTTCTTAGTATCCCATCCTAACCAGGAATTCCTTCCCACTATCCCATCCAAACCTCCCCTCTTTCAGTCTGAAGCCATTCCTCCCCTGTCTACCACTCCATACTCTGTGTAAATTCCCTCTCCATCACCTCTGAGATCACCAAGTCCAACCATTAAATCCACACCTTCACCCTGCTCCCAGTGCCTCAGGGGGACAGGGATTTTTCCTGTCTGGAATGCTGTGTTCTGACCATCCTCTCCATTTTGATTTCCACTCATGCTTGGAGGTCTTGACCTGCCAGTCCTGACTGGAATCCCACTGGGATTGACTGGGAGAAGATGATCTCCCTCTCCCAAGCACTGCTCGGTTCTGAGTCACTAAGAAAAAGGAAAGAAATGATCCAGAGTGTTTCTGGATCAATATCCTGGGAAATAAAGCACGAGGCAAGAAGGGTCTGCAGCAGGGACTCCACACATTCTGCTTCTTTAAGCAGCCACATCCATAATATCCAATAAAAACCTTGGGATCCCTGGGGAATTCTGGCTGAGCGATGGATGCTGGAGGTCCTGAGCTGCCAATATTAAAATATCCTTAGAACTTTGCAGGGAGGGGAAAAGGCAATATCCTAGTGGAAAAAAAAAAGGTTGTCTCCAGCATGAGAGAATTCCAAATTTATCCTCACTCCAGCAGGTGAGGGTGGATTTCTCACTGTATCAGGCATGGACCTTCATGGCTTGATTATATTCGTTCTGTGCAAATGAAGTAAAGCTTAGAGCAGTAATAAATAAAAATCTATATATTTACTTGCCACTTTAAAAG